GATAGTCATTATTTTTCTTACATAAAACCACCGGGCTAGCATAACTACTTGAGATGGGCGTTATGATCTTTTTACGTAGCATATCGGTGATATGCCATTCTATAATTTTTTCCTTATTCTTATCATACCGGTATGGTTTTTGGCGAACTGGCATTGCATCTCCGGTGTCAATACTATGGTTAGTAACCTGAGTAAATCCTGGAATATCACTAAATAAGGAAGCAAATTCACTTACCACTTGTCGGATTCTATCTTGCTCGTCATTAGGCAGGTGGTCAAGATTTAACCTTGGCGGTTCAGCCTTTTCTACACGAACTGGTTTCATTGTCAGCTTAAGGGACGCTTCATTAAAATCCAGTGTAGCTTGTGCCGTCTGAAAGAAAATCTATTCCTAAGATCAAATGTGCTTGCAGATTCTTTACTATGAAAAACATCACCTTTACTTGTTCGTCCTTGATACGGACATACAAGGTAACTTTACCTACGCACTTACTTACTTTTCTTTTTCTCCTTGCGCCGCTAATACTGTCGTATTATCCGCATTATATATGCGGTATTTGCGAAAATACTTTCTAAAACTCTCCAAAAAATCTTCTGCCACACAGGAACACTGCGCGCCTGTATCCAGGAGTGCGGTGGCTGGGATATTATTCACCAACACTTCAATCTTCGGAAGAGTCAAATTTTTCACCATTACTGTATTTAACTTGAAGGAAGAGGGGTTTTCGTGGCCTTCGGATTTCCGCACCCTCTCGTCAGCAGAAATCCGTTTTAGTTTAAATTATTTTTCTTTCCGTGCTTTCCTTCTTTTTCCACTGGCCTTGAGACTTTTTTCCTGGGTTGCTATTGAACTGTCGACGTTCGCCGGCTGTTTTTGAATGCTCGGGTTTCCTTGCCCACTGATTCGCTTTTTCTCCGTAGCCGTGTGCTTGAGTTTGCTGTAGTCTTGGCGTACCAAATTGGTTTCGCTGTTGATATTGGCGTCTTCTTTCGATGTCCGCCGTTCTTCTACTTTCAAACTGGATTGCTAGCTCAAATAACTTTTCCAGTGTAGTCGGATTTCTTAATTCAATAAAGTCTTGCACTTGGGGCAGTAACCTCGGCAAAATCACTTGAATTATTTCAGGATCCGGACGGTTTCCATACAAGAGCTTGAAAACGTGAATTTTTCTTAAAATAAAGCTTCGAGAGATTTTCGATTCTTTGCTGATATATGCTGAAAAGTTCCGTTTCTAATTTCGCACGATCCCTTACGACAGGGAAGGCTTTTAGTAGGGCAGTCTTGAAATTTTCGTAAGTATAGGTGGGACTTCCTGCTTGACCCAAGAGACTTCTTGCCTATACATTTGAACCAAGTTAAGCGCTTGGCCCCTCAAAGCGCTGGTAGCTAAGGTAACTTTTTGAAACTCGTGCACGGGGTAGAGCATGAAGTGGTCATCCAATTTTTCCAAAAAAAACTGGTTACCGGTGAGTTTCCATTAAACGTTGCTTCTGGTTTCATCGAAGCGCGCATGGTCTGGACGATGTAACCAACCGAATCCTTCCAGGGCGGCAGCTGGCATTTCTGGATTCTGAGCCGTTTCTTCTGCAGGCAGCACAGGTTCTTCTTGAAACTCGGCCATGGTTATTCTTCTTCGTTGGGCGCCACTATCAGGTTCAATGTTTCTTCTAACTTTCTTCGGGAACATACAAGGACCTGACTCGGAACAGAGAGCTTACTAAAGCTATGTTCACTAATTGTGGGTAAGTAGACAGGATACAGACGAAGGGTATACAAAACCCTTTATTTTTTCTCTATATACAATAACTTCCGTACTTCGGAATACAATGACCCCCCACTTCGGGGTCTAAACGTAAAAGTATAAAAATAAAACTAAACTCTAATTTAACTTTAGAATAATACACGTGGAAGATTGGCCTTATAATAACAGGAAGCCGTATGTAGCACAGAGACTGTGAACACTACAATACGTTTAATTTATCAAGAGGATTAAAACCTCTGGCCTGGAAGGCAAACAGCAACTGAGTAAAACTTCTAAGGTAAGCGGCCTGCTTGACTTACTGCTGCTTCTCTCTCTCTTGCTTGGCAAAAAAGCCACAACTTAAGTACTTGGCGTTCGCCAGACAAACTTTGCATAAAATCCTTCACGCTTATAATTCTGGCCGGAAGTAGAAAATAAGAAGTGATAGTAAAGATTTAAAATAAAATAAACGTTAGTAAAACTTAAGATCCTTACAACTGCAAGTAACTCACTGCAAGTAAACTTTGTTATTTTAGATTCAAATTTTTATTCACAGAAGGAGATAGATGTAAAGAAGTTAAAAATAAATAACATATTAAATATTAAATTAAAAACTACCCCCCATCTATGACAGGAAAATAATATCTTCATTTTTAGGATTATGTTCATATTTATGTAGGATATTTATCAAATATTTTGCAGATATGAGAAAACCATCATGAAATTTGAAGCATAAGAAAATTCAGTTTGTCTGGTCAGCAGAGGCAACACAGCATTTAAAAAATCAAAAGTTTCTCTGATACATGCTCCTATATTTTCTGATTAAGAAGAGAAATTAGGAATTGTCATAGATGCATCTTATTTTTGAGTTGTCTCATAAAACTCATGCAAGGTAACAAGTCAGTTACAGACTTTAGTAAAACACTGAAAAATATCAAAGATGGTGAATGATGACTGAAAAGGAAACTCTCACTGTGTTAATTGCAGTATAGAAATTTAGAAGTTATTTTGGAATCCATTCACTTTTATTTCATCATGATTATTAATGATCTCTATTCTAAGGATAATGTATCCCCCAGTCCGATTAGCTTGACATTAAAGCTTCATGAATTTAATCTAAAGATAGACCAGTATGGGCCACGAAATGAAAATATTGATGCTGATGCTTTATGTGAAGTTATTAGATGAGGACAGAAAGCAAGTTAAATGTGCAGTGTTAACTTCTACAGTATTGGATTTTCATTAAACAGTGTTAAAAGTGTTAAAAACAGATTCTGAATTAAAAAATATTTATATTTATTTGTTAAATCCAGATGCCTTTACCCGGAGAGACATAAGAGAAATAAGAAATAGATCAAGCAAATTATAAAATAGTTTACAAGCTCTATTTTATAAAAAATGCTCAAACAACAATGAGGAAATTTGTTCAGTAATCGCACCCATTCTTAGATTGAATAGTCTACATAAACTATATGATTTATAGCTGTCTGACCACTTAAGCATGAGAAAGACAATTCAGAGAGTGAGAGAAGCTCTGCATATCCCACAGTTATTGAAATTTGTCACTAAATATGCTGTCAATTTGTAAACAATATTAATTGTAGCTGATCAGTAATCTAAATAGGCAAAAGCTAATTTCCGTAATGAAATGCAGTAACTTTATAGTTATATGCATCTTGTTTATATGATTGTCAAATATATTACAAGTTTACCAGGATCCCATATAATGAATCGGGAAACTGTGCTTATATATACTTGTGTGTATGTTGCACATTCAGTTAAGTGTTCCAAAAATTCAGTTTTCTTTGGCAGAAATTTTAGATGAGCTCTGGATTTTAGTGATTGATTTTGAATTTGTTAGTTCATAAAGCTAGAAGATACAATAAGTTAAATGCTGTCTGCCAGGTTTATACATCTTTAAGTATTTGAATTTTGAAGTCCCAGAAAGTAGTGGTGGCTAGTATTTTGTTAAATTATGATTTTATTACAAAATGTAGTTTTTAATAAACCTTTTAGTTAAATGTTTCCTCTCACATATGTTTTTGGAGTCTAAGTGCAAAAATTCGTATGAAATGCTAGACGATCAAACAGATTTAGTTTAATAGTTAATTAGGTTCAACCTTACAAATTATATTAGTAATTCTTCATTCAGTTTTTTGTAGTTGTGTGTTTTGTAACTTATCTTTTTTGTTTTACCTAATCAGAAACTAGTCCTTGAGTTTTATCATGGCAAGCAATGCAAGATTGCATCTATTGTTGTCATGGGCATTCAGCAACATAAGTAAGTGACAGTACAATTTTGCCCATTCCCACCCCAGTTTTGATGGAAAACACTTGGGAGATGAGTCTGATGATCTCCCACTCCTCTTCCCTTATCACCAAACTACATAAGATGACTTTTCAGCTTGCTGAAGTTTTTGAATGCCACCCTACTACACAGACTCTATACATTTAGAAACACGCATGCCTTTTCCATACTTATAAATTACCATTAGTCATATATAACTAGGTTTTGTTTTGATGCCTAGTTGCATATTAGGCTAAGTATGACTTTTAAATTGTAAAGGGTGTCTTCAGCTTATGGCAGTATATGTAACAATTCATCAATTAAATGCTTTCGACTGCTACTCAGCATGAACTTATAATCACAACAAAGAAATCTCATGACAAATTTTCAGACTTTATACAACTCATATTACCCACAGTAGTGCTTATTAGATAAAAGTTTCACTTATGTTAATTCTTCAAAATATTCAAAAATGATTGAACCATTTAACTGAGAGTGTTTATAAATATTTAATTTAGTGGTCTGGAATTATTCTAATTCCAAACAAAAAGTGATTGGATATAAGAATAAATTAAAATTTTCTAACTATTATCAGAAAGTGAGGATGCTCCCTGGTAATAAAGAGAAATAATTAAGAAGCAAATAAAAAGATAATAAATAATAAAGAGAAATAATTCTTATTTGCACATGTGACTAATATTCTTTAGTCTTAGAATTTAACTTGATAAGTTTATTTCAATTCAGAATTTATACCATAAAAATCTCAATTTTTAAATTAGCAAATTAAATTAGGTACTTTACGAAATATATCTGAGTGTTGTAAGTTTAATTTTCCTCTTTAATATAAGGTTCTTTGATATGATAACAAATTATTCAGTTTGGTACATGAAAGTGTATCACTGCATATGTTTATAGTTTAAGCATCAGCTGAACACATTTGAAAGGTGAACTAATATTTTATAATCTCTAAGGACTTGGTGCAGCTAGGGTAAGAGACTTATTTAAGGAAGGCAGAAAAAGAGCACCTTGCATTATATACATAGATGAAATTGATGCAATTGGACGGAAAAGAAGTGGAACGTAAGTTTGATAAATTATTGTTTATAAGAAAAAAATTCGTTTTTACAGTTGAATATAGAGTACTGGAATGTATTTATATTCTGACCAATAAATTATGCACAGTTTGAATTGTAGTCTTATACAAATTCCCCTTAAAATGGAAGTATTTGAAACCTTGTGTATATAAGTGTTTTATGTGTTTTCATAGTAAATCTTAGCATTTTGTAAGGAATGTCATGAAATTAATATTGAAGATTATCAGAATATTCATAACGTACTTACAGCTTTCAGGATTCAGTTATTTAATTAAGAAATGCTTCATCAGATGCTTCATCATCTGGGAGGCAGGAATCTGAGGGTATTGTCATCATTTTCTTGAATAAATATTCTGATTCAGTTCTTTCTTAAGGATGATGCTAGATACTTCTTACTATTTATTTTCCTTATATATTTAATAAATCTGTGTATCCTCCTTTTTTTACTAATTTTATCATGCAAAAATCGAGATGAAGAAATTACATGAACAATTTAATTTCCATAGAATGTAGAATGATTTAATTTTCATAGAATGTAGTTATACTAAGAACATAATTAATTAAAAATTTATTTCTACTTATATTTATTATGAGTCTTGTCTAGTCTTGAGTCAGTCTCATAAAACATGATTGTTGTTTACTACTGTTCGGTAGGCCCCTGGTCAATGAACATTACTGAAACTACTGTCTATGTTATTTGCTACAACATGCAAGTCATCATCATTGTCATCAACAGTCTTTTAAAAGTTTATTCACTCATATGTCTGATGATTGCAGAAGTGATGTGAGTCCTCCTGATGACAGGAGCAGTGTTTGTTCTGTTCACCTCTTCTTTTTATCTTCTATGAGATGCCTATTGAAGATGTTCAGTTTCAAGCCACTCTTTCATTAAATCATTTCTTTAAGTCCATTTTGTCTCATAAAACAAGTGGTCCATCCTGTGCTTACTTTAAATTGTTGGGATATAATACCATGTTTCTTCACTTAATCTTTTGCTTTCATTTGTATTTGTTCATTATTAATTTTCATTTTGCTATGCCATTACTTCTTTGTTCTTTCATGTAAATCAGTATTTCGCTGTCAATTTCTGGAAATATTCCCTTATTTTAATCTTGTTTGCTTTGTCTTCATTGATGCATCCTTTTATTTTCTCCAGCATCAAATCAAACTAGGTTCAACACCAAACTGTGCACTGTCAGATTTGATACCATTAATTCAAGGAATTTTAAAACTTCTCACTTGAATTTTGCTTTGTAGCTATGGTTATTATTATTATTATTATTATTATTATTATTTTTTTTCTTTATGGTTCTGAAAATTCATAGTGTAGTATACTGTGCTCCATATACACTTACTTCGAAAGAAACTTCTTCTAACTCGATTTTTTTAAATCTTAAATAAAGTTCAGTTAGGAACCCAGTTAGGGAAGCCAAATATGTTTATGCATGAATATGAAACTCACTCAGCAAAATTGCCGACCAAATTTCAGTTCACTGTGATTAGTTGGTTTTTCTAGCATTTTGGCATAAAGTCTACTGAACATTTAAATGAAATCCTTGTAGCACTGTCTGTAACATAACAAAGTGTGGTTGCAAAATCCTCATATGGATGCTACATTACTTTTAACATGCGACCATTGTTGGTGAGTGGAAAGGGGAAGGTTCAGCATGACCTCTGTAGGTATTTTGTGGGTGTTTGTCTTTATTAGTGAGATGAAAACGACCACTGTGTAGATGAATAATTTTTTTTAATTAATTTAATAATTTCTAAGCACCTAAAGGAAGGGGGGAATTGCAGGAATATTTTTTAAAAAATTCAGGATTCTGCACTAAAAGTTGGGGATATACAAATAAAGTACATACGAACAATAAAGTAGTAATGAAGCCCTTGCAGCTGGATTGTAAGATTCCACATTTTTATAATAGCATGGAGTGGGTGTAACCCAGATCAGTTTCTTTCATTGAGACAATTTCTCAGAAAAGAGCCTCATTTTAATTATTATGAGCAGCTGATTTTTAAAAATGAAAATTTTTAAATATTGTTCTATGGTAAAATTGGGGATATTTTTTGAGTTCGAGTCTTACAGATTTTTTTAACTGTGTGGAATATATGTATCTTGTGTGTAGTCAAAGGCTTAAAATTATGAAAATGTGAGTCAACTACCTTATGAATATATTTTTGCATTTAAAAGTATTTCTTACTTGTAGATTAAAATTTACAGTTAAAAAATAATTATGTATATGCATTTAAATAATAAAAAATTATGCTTAAAGAATATTTATGCATAAAAACATAATTTTCAGAGATTTTATGTTCTTTAAGAACAACAATCAACATTTCCAACAATTATTCTTGCTTTTTGACAGTGAAATATATTTTTGATGTCAGTAGATTAATAAACAGAGTTTTTTTATTTCTGGTGGATACTGATCAGTTGCACTTATTGCATCATATGATGATGTTCTGCACAGTTTGCCTCTGCCTTCTTATTATTCTGTTAAATAAAAAGACAAATGATGTCTTTCTAAACATTTCTTAGTTTTTATTCCTTCCAATAATTTATCAGCAGTTGTTGACATAATATTTTCAATATACATCTTCTATCATGTGCAATTTTATTTCATGAGAAGTGAGACAATCATTATTTTTTTGGCAAAATATAAAGAAGCCATTAACAAAGAAAAGAAAAAAGTGTGAAAAATTGCAGCTTTCTTGAAAAATCCAGAACAGCTTCTATGTTGACTAGAGAGCAGAATCACAAGTGGTGTTATTAGCCATTTAACCAGCTGGTATCAACTAATACCTAAATACTAAATTTTTGTCTGTGGGAATCTGTTTTTTAAAAGTTACTTGTAATTCTTCTTTTTTTTTTCATTTGCTAGTATGTCAATTCTATTTTGGAAAAATTCTGCTTTATGGATACTGTTTAAGAAATGCCTATGGTTGAAGCATTTTCCCATGATCTTGAGATGATATGGATAGAATTAAGCAAAAATTACTTGTTTATTTATTTAATAAAGGGATCACCTTTTTTATCAATAGCAGTGATAATTATCCGTCAAATGCTTGCGTGATGCAGTTTTAAATGCTTTAATGGTTTCTTTGTTGAAAGGTTAAATGCTTGAAGTCATATTCATTAGCAAAAGACAAGCCTGATGTTTCTCAATTGTATTACAGAGCAAGCTGGGAAGTTGTGAAGCATTACAGGAATTTTTTCTTTTGCCATTAGCTTGTTACTGAATGAGAAAATCTTTATAATTCTTACTTTAATTTATGGAGTCTTTGAATTTTCATAAAAAATGTGAGTGCTTCTGCTTTTGCTTTTAAAAATAAAAAGGGTTTGAGGTTTTCTAAGTAGTTACAGTCTCAGCTGTAAATAAAATTGCAATGTGATTTTTTAAAATTTGTTTTAATTTATTTTTTATTCTAACCAAGGGTATATCAATTTTGAACATAATTGTATCCTCTGGCATTATTCTAAACTTTAGGGTAGTTATGTCAGCTTTAAAGTTTTGCTGATCAGTTTATGTATATGCAGGAAAGCTTAAACTAATCTCTGAAGGTACCTACTCAGTATTAGTGCCCTATTTCTCTTCAGCCTGTCAGTAGCTGAGGGTTAAAGCTGCTGAACACTATAAGTTCAACATAGGATCAAATCCCAGTAAATGGACTGACTACATGGGAGTTTCTGTCTCTCTTTTTTTATTTTATATTTATTCCATGTGCACATGAAGACATGTTAGTTTTGCTTAAAAATTCCTCCACAAAGACATTCCTTCCTTTAGGCAAATAACAAGTGCTTTACTGTAATCATCTAAATAATCCTAATCCCTTTTTTTGCTCATAAATTTATACGACATATTGTGTTTTTTGAATGATTAGATTATCCAACTGTTGCACAAAAATCCATTATCCCTAATATTACTGCTGAACTCTTTGATTTTCCCAATAAAATTGTTTTACTGAAGGAAGTTCAATCTAGCAAATGAAAACCATTCGTATAATGTTTCTCAACATCAGCTACCTTCCTTTTTATTTTTTATTTTAATTTATTTTTTTTTCAGATTAGAATTAGCAATCAAAATTTCACTCCTAGCAGATCTTAATGCAACATTGCCTGCTTAATTTGTAATGCAAATGAAATCTCACTTTGATTTCACATTCATTTGGCTATATGGGGGGGGGCATTGTATTTCTTCTTCAGATTTTACATTTCAAGCAAAGGAAGAGTTTCTGTGTTTCAATGCAGACTTCTATTAATAAAATAAGAAATAGTTAACTAAACCTTTATGAATTTTTTGTGATAGCATAATCAAAGATATCTTTGTTTATCAAAATGTGTTCATGACCAAAAGGCTAAACTGTATTTTTACCTGGTTTTATACCTTCCAGTAATTGTATACTCGTATATGTGGATAAACATGCAGAGAAAGTTTGGTAATCATGTAGCATATGATCTACCTCTTTTATTTATTTATTTATCTATTTTTTAGATGGTGGCATTAAAATTGGTGGTAGTTTTAGTCATTCCCTTTCCAATCATTTTGCTGCACATCAAAGTTTAAAAATAGCATTTTAGAGACACAAAGTGAGAAATAAATAACTAACAAAAAGCCATAAATTGCATATTACATGATCGCCAAAGTTTTAATAGATTTTAAATTTCCTACCAAAAATAGCACTTTTAATAATTTACGGAAATTAAAAAATTTATGAAAAACATAGAATAAATAAATAAATAAATAATAGCTTTCAAATTCTGATTTTTACCTGTGTGTACAATTATGCATAAAAATGTTTAGTGAAATAGGATATGAAGAATAAATATATTTGATTTTAAAAATATATGCATTTGATTATGTTTGTAACTTTTTAGGAATGTCACTGAAGGAGTAACTGGAGAAGGAGAGCAAACTCTTAATCAGCTTCTTGTGGAATTAGATGGTATTTTATATTTTCCATTAATTTTAGTCATGAATTCTATCCTCCAGTCTCATATGTTTAAAAAAAATTCTTAGAACCTTGGGACTTTTTAGCATTGCACCTTACTAAAAATAACTTAAGGTACTGTAATGCAGTTTTACAAAGCGTAATTGCCATCTATTAAAGCATATAAAATAAATAATAAATATTGTTTATATCTTCTTTATTGTTAAATAATATTATTATTTATTATTAAATAAAATTTTATTTATAACTTAACGTTTTTTATGTTTACTTGCTTAATGATTGATATGAGAAATGAGTCTTCAGAACTATTAATATATTGGGTAAAAAGTAGGGTTATAAAACATAAGTATTTCATTGTATCTATTTCTTAAATTGTTCAAGAAAAGAAAAGGTACTTTCAAAGTTTGAACATCTTATTTATAATTGTTATAGAATGAGATACATTTTGAAAACTGTACAAGATTTATTAGTAGAAGTACATATCAGAACTACAGTCAAAAGTAGTTAATTCGGACACCCATAATTCGGAATGATCTATAATCCGGACCTCAAAGCTAAAAACTTTCTGCGCATGCTCCGCGTTGACACATGCGCATAGGCGTTTACGCGTGCGCGTAGACCTCTTACGACTGCGCATTTGCGTGTGCGCAAGCGCAGAATAACGTTTTCACGTGCGCGTTTTATGTATAACAGACGGTGTAAGCTAAAATTATATAATTATCTATTTCAGTTAATGTTGATGATTGCATTGTTCCTTAATTTTTCGAATTGGATCCAGCTTATTATTTTTGCAGACTGTAAGAGCAATACTAAAAAAGTAAACTTGAACTTTTGATTATGTCAAATAGAATTTTTGATTCTGGATCTCCCAAAGGATCGTACAAAACGAAAGTATGTTTCGATGTCCATCAAACAAAAAGTGGAATTGCTGCAAAAAATGGATAAAGACATGAAGAATGTGACAGAGAGGTTAGTGAAAACGAAAAAATTTCGATTGACAAGTTAGTCAGTTGAACAGCGGAACTTTGTAAGTGAACAAAAAATTATGTCTGTTTATAGAATTAAAGTATTATCACATAAAACGAAACAACTTACATTGAAAGAAATGTTTAATAAAGTAAACAAATAAATATTAAGCTTTTTTTTTGTAAATTTTGATACCCTTTAGATCATAATTGTTCCTTATTTCATAAATTACGGTTTTCATATTTTAATTTTAGAATTTCTGCATGCCATCCTACGCGATTTAAACTGATGATCTATAATCCGGAAAAATCGATAATCCGGAATCGCCGAAGTCCCGACGAGTCCGGATTAACGACTTTTGACTGTATTATTAAAATAAAAGGTAAGGATCATTATTACTTTGAAATTGCTAATAAAAGCAGTATTTTCTTCTTAATTTAAGTGCATCTGAAATCAATAAAAAGTGTAGTTTAAACTACAACCAAAGGTACATATGTTTAAAAACAAATAGAACTAGTACACTGCAATCCTTGGATCTTCAAATGAAACTTCAGATCAGATTAATTTTACATTATTTTAGGTACTTTTAGCAGTCATCCATAAAAAGATAATTCCCCATTGCATACACTGATAAATTTAGTAAGAAGAAAAGCTGGCCAAATCACAAATCGAAATGAAGTCATGCATGAATTGCCAATTTTATAATCATAAGGTACCAATCAATCTTTCCTTCCTGTTCAAATAACTTCAGTGAGGCTTTTTCTTTTCAATAGTTTTTAGCATTGAGGTAAAAAAATCACATTATTTTCATCCATTTTGAGATGCTATTATTTTCAGGGTGTTTCTCTGTTTTATGCATAAAATACAGTCTCTTTCCCATTTCCATAAGCAATGGTTTTAGCAATAGCATTATAACTGAAATACATAATGATTCTTTTCAGTGAAACTAAATAATTAATTTATTATACAAAGATTTCCTTATGTTTCTTAATTTTATAGTCTTTAATTAATATGAGTAAAAAATTTTTAGAAATTTTTATTACTTTATGTGTATTGAATATTAATGTTTTAAAAATAATTTGAAGATTTTAATAATGGTTCAGACATACTCTGTAAGAATGCTTCTGCTGTGCAGTGGCAATTAATTGCAAACAAAAAATATTAATGTAAAGAATTTCTCATAAATTTGCATGACAGTTGCATGTACCTGAATAGTTTAAGGAGAAAGGATGAATCAGTGTAAAAGGAATATTTTAATATCAGTCTTAAATATTAATAAATGTGTCAGAACTGGAAGATTTAGTAAAAAGATTAAATGCATTTGAGATTCTTTGAGATTCATTAATAACTGATGACTAAGTTCTAAACCAGCTTATCATCTGTTATAGCTGAATATGAAGCTTTGAGTTTTTAATTAAATTAAATGTAAATTTACAAATGTTTAGAATTATACATTAAAAATTCTAATTTAATGATTCTTACCATAGCATAATTTCTCACATGTATAATTAATTTTTTATTCTCTCTTTCTGCGTCTCTCTTTTTTTTTTTAGTCCGATGTATTTTGAAATGCAGATGTTGATTTAAATGTTATTGCTTTTTTAACATTCTACATTATAATTTATCGTAAATTTTGACATAATGTTATTTTTTTCTGATGAAATATTATTAGAATGTATATCGGCTTCTCTTTAATCTTCTCTTTTAGGTATGGCAACAAAAGAAGGGGTTATAATGCTTGCTTCTACTAATAGAGCAGATGTTTTAGATAAGGTATATGATAAATCAATATTTTTTATTTGTTATCCTTCTTCATGTAGTTTTATTGAAAAGAGGCATTTTCATATAGGTTTTTGTTTAGTGCCCTTTCTGCCTATGAATGCCCATAGAAAATTTTCAGAGAAAGGAAGCAAAGACTGGAATCAAATATTTACATCAATAAGTTTTTATTTAATTTGTGTGGATTCACAGGTATGGGATAAATCACAAAAACACATATACTATACATATACTTAACACATCGATATAAAAACACATTTCTTACTGAATTCCAGGTTCTCCATAGGTGAACTTTAGTTTAAAACATTTGGACCTGGCTATTATGATGAAATTTCAAGACTTGTTTCTGCCATTTAACATACTATTTCAAATGCAATTAATAAAAAAGGGTGGTTTTTCATTGTGATTGATGTGATATAAACTTTCTCTAAGCAGAGTTGTAAATTCTAAAATTTTGTAATATCAGTTTGGCTTTCTCTAGATGCTACACCTAGGAGCAGTTATCAACTCTTGCCCCCCCCCTCTAGCTACATTTCTGTTTCTAAGAAACAGAACAGAAAGAAGTGATAGTCTCTGTTTCTACTTCTTCCAGCATTGCGATAGAGTTATATTATCCAAAATACTATTAAAAGAAGGTCTATAATATGGTTTAGAATTAGCGCAGGTGGCTTATAATACAGTGTAAGAATACGTTTTATTTGAGTACTTGAGTTTTAACAAGGCACAGTTAACATTCTCGTGGATTTGAGTCCTAAATTCATTATTCAGAAGCAATATTATTAAAATTTAGTACAATTTTTTCAGTTAATCTTTGTTGTACTATATAAATATAGCACAGTACACTGAAGATTTTATGATAATTAGAAGGAATGGAAAAGGTGTTTATGGAAGATATTTTAAGAAAAATTAGCTGCTTATTTATAATACATATTAAACAGTCTTGAGAATAACCAATTTGTTCTATTGCCAGGCATCAAACCCAAGGCACAGTTAACAGAGTTCTACAGATTTATCCTCTCAAAGGAATGTAAATATTTTGAAAATGGCCAATGAGAGTGTTTTGATTTGTATTTTTGTACTTGTGGTAGTAATATTCTTCTTGATCTAGGCCAGGGAATGAATATAAGGAGAATCAGAAGAATGATAAAGATGCTACTAAATCTGCAGTGTACAAGGAAAATTTTCCTTGCAGAAATATTTAGCACAAGAGAAGCTACTTCTAATTGGATTTCTTATAAATTAAAAAACTGTTATTCAAATTGAATTATTAATAACATTAATATCTAAACATGAAAAATGACACTGAATGCTCATCTGAATATGAAAAATGTCATGTAGAGAATATCACCGAGTGTTAGCAGAAACAGAAAATTTGAAACAAAGTCAAATTAGAAAAGATTTCTTTGATTAATAATTTTTTCTAGCCTTAATTTTTTAATAATTTTTTAAATAAACTTTCAGATAGTTAGATAAGTTTTTCCAATACTTAAAATATAAAAATTGAATGATTAAAAGTGTGAATTATTTTAATTCTTAGTAGTTTTTATTTATAATTATTTTTTGTGCATAATTACTTTTACTTACTTTTGTGCATTACTTTTTTACTTTTGTGCATAATTACTTTTACTTACTTTTGTGCATAATTACTTTTACTTACTTTTGTGCATAATTACTTTTACTATGAAAGTCCATATAATACCAACAAATCAGTATTCCCCCTCCTAATCTTCCCTCAAACTGTTTCCCCAATCTTGATCCAGTCAGTCGGCCAATCAGCATTCAATCAGTATTAGTTTATTCCAGTATATTAAGATACTTTAATGAGATGTTTCTGTATATAATAATTTTATTCTGTTTGTGAAATAATTAATATATTTTTAAACCATAATTTATTCTGATGCTTTAATTGTATATTTATTCTTTTGCATGTCTTTAAACTATTTAAAATCACTTAAATACATTAAACAATGGTTACTTTTTTATTTTCTACATGGTAATGAAAAATACTATTAAAACCTAATAATCTACACATTTTCAACTTTTTTTTGTTCTCATCATGTGCAATATTAGATCTTGTAGTCACAGTATTTATTTTGGGAAAGTTGTAGTACAGTATTTCATTTTCAAAAATTGATTTTCTATATTATAAGATAAACATTCTTATGACTTCTCTATTGTTGCATTTTGAAATCTGCTCATATTTTACCTCCAATGAATTTTAAGAAATTTTTATTTGCCTCTTCTAATTTTCATTTAAGCTTTCACTTTTTCCCAGTTGTTACACATAAGATGTAATAATATGATAAATCTAAAAAATTACTATATGCATAAACGTTTAAAAAAGCTTAACAACAGCATATATTAAATTCATTAATATCTGTTTGCTGCGCATTTTTGTAAATGTATTTATAAAATTTTATTGAGATGAGCTCATTTAAAATGCACAGTGTTTTAAAAAAATCATAATTATTCCGCTTTTAATGCATTTTGATTGAATAATTTATAGGTAGACAAAGGAAAATCTCGAGTTTCATGCAATTTGTGATAGGTAGAGCTAATGCTCTTTCTTTTCTCACAACCAGTGTTTGTCTAGATAGTAACTGCACAATAGCAATTGTTTTGTGTTCTATGCTTTGCAAGGTGCTAGTCCATAACAACTATTCAGCCTGATTTTTATCAACAATACCTTATTGTTAAATAACCTACTGCTCAGAGCATTATGTGATGGTATAAACAATTCCAGGACAAAGGTTGTTTGAGTAAAAGGAAATCACCTGACCATCCCCACATGTGAAGCAAAAATGTGAAGAGCAGAGAGAATTTCACACATAAATGACAGAAACCCATTCACCATGCTGATAGGGAACTTGGCATTCTTGCAACATCTGTTTGGCATGCTCTGCAGCAATGTTTGATTTTCAGACCCTGCAGAATTCATTTGCTGCAAGCTCTTCATACAGGTGACAAAGAATGACATGTGGAGTTTTTTGAATTCATCTTTCAGAATGTTTCACAAGATGACTATTTTGTAACACACATCATGTTTAGTGAAGAGGCTACTTTTCATCTAAGTGGCAAGGTTAAATTCCACAGTGTTAGAATATGGAGCAGCCACATCACACTGTACAGCAGGAGAAAGACTCACCAAAAGTTAATGATTTTTATGCTGTTTCTCGGAAAAATGAGTATAGTGCCTTTTTTTTCATAGAGATCACTGTAACGGGAATCACATATCTTGATATGTTTAATAAACTGACTTTTGCCACAGAAATGATGTCATGACCATTGTCCATTAGGATGGGGGAAGATGAGACTGGTGCTTGGATGTTCAAGAATTTTTTAACAATTGTATTCCTCAATGATGCAACGGCCATTCAGGACCTGACAAGCAGTTAAACATCATTGGCTTGCAAGGTTACCAGACCACTCAGTATGTGATTTCTTCTTGTGAGGCTTTACAAAAGACTCCATTTATATGCCTCCACTTACAGCTATGTTAACTGAACTGAAGATACACATAATAACAGCTGTAGAAGCAATGGATGCAGATGCATTCGCAAAAGTTTGGCACGAATTTGTCTACAATATAGGCATATGCCATTTATTCAATGATGAGCATTTTGAACACCTTTAATTTGGTTTAAAAAAAAAAAAAACTTTGATTAGCCATATAACACAAAATTAATCTTAAGTCCATCTTAAGTTCAGTATTTTTCAATAATATGCACATTTCAAATCAGGTGATTCTTTTTGATACTCTGTGTGTTGCTTATTTCTTATTATGCCTGTGACTTAATGAAAAATCATATAATGTTAGTAGTAAATTTTTGGCTGTATTAGTTTTAATTCTAAGCAAAAACTTTGTAATCTATTTTCATAGCAGTAATAATATGATTTAATTACATACCATTTGTTATGATATGCAACTAAATCATATTATTATTTGCAATGAATTTATTATGCTCCTTGATTATGCTATTTGTTATGCTCATTGATTCTACAAATTTAAGTACTAATAGGGTAGTTAAAAGTAAGCTGTTAATAGCTTCATCAAGACAGCATTGTCTTGAAGGAATAGCTTAATAACTTCATCAAGACAGCATATCTAAATGAAAAAATAGCATAGAAGATATATTTATGACAATTCGTTATTACTTTTATTTTTTAAATCCCATTTTATTTAGTGCATTATTACAGAAATAGTAAACGAAAAAATAGCATAGACAGCATTGCCACGTCCCTTAGTCGTACTATGCATTGCGTAAACTTGGCATACACTGGATGCTGCACAAGCTGATAAGGACAGATGTGTTCCGACCCACACTGATCTATTCGAATATCAACACAAGAATAAAATTCTGTACCAGATCATCACTTATGATGAAAAGTGGATTTACTTTAACAACGATCTGCACCTAGTGAGCCTGTTTGCAGTGTCGCAAAGTGCAGGTTTACTAACAAAAAGATCATGCTTTTTATCTGTTGGGATTGCCTTGGTTGTTATCCACAAAGAATATGTGGAAAAAGATAAAACTCTCGACAATAAACTGGTGCTATCTTCCATTCTACATAGGACGTCTGAAATGAGGTTGATCTGCTTTTGGTCTCAGGGCCACCAAGTTTTTGGGCCCAAGTTTTTTTTTAAAAAAACCACCAAAACATTGGCATAAAATCATAGATTTGGGTGTTGTTTACTATCCATGTTAAAAGTACTGCTTTCTTTTTTTTTTTTTGTTTTTTTTGTTTTTTTTAACTTCATTAAGAATGTTTTTTGGCAGTAAACGCTCATTACAACCAGATATATCTGTGCATTTGAATGTAGATATGTTTCATATCACTGTGTATCTACATAAATCCTGAATGTTAATAAATTCTCTATAGCATGTACAATAAGATTATACACACAAAAGTCGTTAATCCGGACTCGTCGGGACTTTGGCGATTCCGGATTATCGATTTTTCCGGAATATAGATCATCAGTTTAAATCTGGTAAGATGGCATGCAGAAATTATAAAATTAAAAATATGAAACCGTAATTTATGAAATAAAGAACAATTATGATCTAAAGGGTATCAAAATTTACAAAAAAAAAAAAAAAAAAAAAAAAAAAAAGCTTAATATTTATTTGTTTACTTCATTAAACATTTCTTTCAATGTAAGTTGTTTAAGTTGCTTCATTTTTTATGTGATAATACATTCTCTTTAATTCTTTAAACAGACATAATTTCTTGTTCAGTTACAAAGTTCCGCTGTTCAAGTCCTATAATTGCTGTGTCGAGAATACCGACAAATTTATCAATTGAAATTTTTTTGTTTTCAATAACCTCTGTCACTTTCTTCGCTGTCGGAAGCGAATTATAATGACGAGGAATTTGATTTAAATCATATCAAAGATGGAGTACATCGAGATGAAATACTACATTTAATAAGGAATTATAAGCCAAATAAAATAAAAACATCTGCCCTGAAGATAAGGATAGTGCTGACAGATCAACTTCCAATTCATTGCGTGGCGCCGCAGCGTTAAAGATAAACAAAGTTTAGATAAACAAACATTAAAGTTTAGATAAACAAAGGATATGCCTTTATCCAGTTTTTGTAGCAATTCCACTTTTTGTTTAATGAACTTCGAAACATACTTTCGCTTTGTAGATCATTTACATATTAATAAATATATATCAGAAATTCTATTTGACATAATCGAAAGTTCAAGCTTACTTTTATAAATTTGCTCTAACAGTCTGCAAAAAATAATAAGCCGGATCCAATTCGAAGATTGAGGAACAACGCAATCTGCAACATTAACTGAAATAGATAATTAAATAATTTTAGCTTAGCTTATACCGTCCGTTATACATTAAACGTGCACTCGTAAACGTATTTTGCGCACGCGCACAAGCATATTCTCAGCCGTAAAGGCCTTACGTCAACCCGACGCATGCGCAGAAAGTTTGAAGCTTTGAGTCCGATTATGGGTGTCGAATTAACGACTTTTGACTGTATTATTAAAATTTTCCTTGTATCAATCTGTGCTATCTGAGTTAGCGCTGGTTCGCATTAGCTTGGATAATCGGGGTCAAATTGTATAACTATTTTATATGAAGACTTATATATATTATATTATATTTGTAAGTCATAAATAACAATCATAGATTCACCATTCAACACTAAAAATTCGGTATTAAAAATTATCATGTTGAAACAACTATTCTTGCTTTGTGTTTTTCCTTCATTGACTACAGTCAAAAAAGAGAATCAAATTTCTGTGCTGCAAATTTCTTAGCCGCAGAAACTTCAGTTTCAGAAATCTCAGATAAAGACCAGGTTAGTGAGTTTTTAGGATTGGAAAAGGATGGTTCACTAGGTTTTTGTATTGAGGAATAGACTCTATAAAGACATGACTGATTTCTGAATAGAATTTAGAATATTATTATATAGAATTCTGAATAGAAATAAGGCCTGAAAAAGATTATTCAAATAACAAGTTTCATCAGCATGACAGTTGCACCAGCGGCCGAGCAGTAAAGTCGCTGAACACTGGTAGTTCGGTCTGAGGTTCAAATCTCGAGAACGGGCTAGCCTGGGCGTTTCATGGCTTTCTCTGTGTGTAACATATATAAGAGCCAGTTCCCCTTAGAACGTTCTCCACGAAGGCATCAACCCCTTAGGCAGATAGCCCAGGAAGCTTTGCCATAATCAAATAAACCAAACCAAACCATCAGCATGACAGTGCACCATCACACAGTTCCATTCACATCGAAAAGTTGTCATTTTTCTCAGCCCCTCTCCCTTTATTCTTCAGATTTGGCTTCACAGACTATTTTGTCTCTTCAAACAGTAAGTCTCAATTTGAATGTCATTATTATAATAATATTGAAGAAATTCAGTAACCTGTAACCAGTGCTTTAAAACAATATTCCAAAAGATGACTGTGTGATAAAATCAAACAGATGTATGAATGTAATTGTTTTAGTGACTTAAAAGAACTCTGCATAAAAGGCTAAGAAGTAAGAATTGGTTGGTTGCCCCCTATAGCTTTCGATTTGATGCAAAATTTGTTGTGAAATTTTGTAGACAAAGTGTGTATATTTGTAATACATTGTCATATATTATTATTTTTTACCATTATATGTTATTTTTACCATTATTTATGATTTATTTATTTAATTATAGGCTTTGCTTAGACCTGGACGTTTTGACCGACATATATTGATTGATTTTCCAACTTTGCAAGAAAGAAAAGAAATATTTGAACAACATTTAAAGTCAATATCTTTGGAGTTATCTCCTGATAAGTATTCAGAAAGATTAGCTCAGCTAACTCCAGGATTCAGTGGTATTGCATTGTTTTAAACTGTAATAATTATAGTATAAATTATAAATTACTTAATTTTAGCTATTCTGAAAGTTATATAAGATGTAGGGATAGAATTTAATGTGAGTTGTATTAATCCTAAATTAATTATGGCGTAGTACTGAAAAAAATCTTAGTTATAATAAACTAGAATATAGCAATGACAGAACACTAAAATTACTTAATTAAATACAGATATTTGACAGATCCTTCAAAATAATATCCATAGATCTTTGTATGTTTGTACCATGGTTTTTTTTTTAAAAATAGAGGCCAGTTTCCAAAATATTCAAATTTGAATTTAGTCACCTCAGATTTATTGTGGGCTGGGTAATTGATAATGAGAATGCATTTCAGTGTTATTTGCCTCGCCAGGGATACTTTATCATTTATTAGTTGTCACCACTAGGCAGTTTGGTTTCTGTTTCCAAAAGATTCAGTCTTTTTGAAAAATGAAGCAAACATTTTCCTCATAGGCATGACTTCGGTATCAGTGCTGTGGAGGGGAGTTAGAACAAGGAAAAGGTCTGGAGTACATGGTAGATTTAATATATATATATATATATATATATATTTAAAGCAGAAGCTTTGTCACACAAACCCATATATTGTCCTGATGGAGTTGCCAAGAAGGATGCAGTTCCGAAAGTGTTTCCTTCATGTTTAATCTCATAGTTTCATCCAAACTTGCAGATGACGGTGTGCTTAACTGTTCTATTTGGATGAAATTGCAGTTGATATATCATACCTCCTGCTTTATTGTTTTTATTTTCTACTTTTGAAGAGTTCTTGAAGCATACAGAATGAAGTAGAGCATTCTCACCATATGCTTTGTGGATCATCTCATAATTTCTTTTACCATTTACCCTAAGTAGAATTTTATAGTTACATACTGCTTGTTGTGAATAGCATCATTTTGACTGAAATAACGAGAAATATATTTGCTTTCACTGCTGTGCTTTATGTGAGATTTATTGTGTAATCATCTTGTGAATGAATGTCACTGGCATGAGACTATTCGAACATCTAAATTTAACTGTATAGTTTCAGCTCCTTCTCCTCCCAAACTGTTTCATTACATTCATGTAGTCATTCAAACTACATTCATGTTTACTTTATCCTTTGACTTTTCTCATAAGAAATTATATGGTGTTCTCAGCAATTCATTTTGATTCTTCTCATTCAATGAATTTTTCAATTTTTCTTTTTGTTTTTTAAATGATCCTTATTTCTGATGGTAAAAGATTAAGAGGAAAGAACAAATATTGATAGCAAATTATGGCTTGTAATACTTCTGCACGTATGTATCTTTCAGAAAACAAAGTGAAAGGTGAACTGCATGCTCTGCATAAGATTCATTTATGACACATTCTGAATAGAAAGATTTGGCATGGTTTAAAGAATGGCAGTATGCCTTTTTTAATTGATCATTTATTATCAAAATAACTTTAACTTCTTAGGCAATATCATTGTAAAAGTTGCCATCATTTTAGAATTACATAAAGGTATTTTTGATAAATTTTAATGCTGTCCCAATCAGCATCATTTAATTTGGGAAGTAGTTTAGGAATGCTATGTAAGCAAATTTTTTTTTCCACTTTTATGACAGGAATTTCTTGTTTAAAATATTTTAATTGAGAAAATCATTATAATTTCTTTTTAATTTATTTTTGAAATATGATAATTTACATTTTCTGTTTTGTTGAAATACAAAGTCACTCATTGTAATTTTTACAAATTCATAATATAGCGCACAAAGAAAAGTAACAAGTGCACACAGAAATAGGGCCTTGGGTAAATGTCAAAAGAAAATATCTCTTTGTGAAAAAGTTAATTGATAATATATTACTAGAAATTAAAATGAACATTTCATTGCTTTCTGCTAATGATATAAATGATCATTTGACAAAATATGTTAAAATTCCAGAAAAATGGCGAAGTGAGATTTATGCTTTCTTGTTTTTAGATATTATAAGGCATCTAATTTCCACACTAATTTGCGATGAAATTAATGATATTTCTATCACCAAATATTTATTATCATATCTAAAACTTAGATGTCAACAGAATAAACAATGTAAAATTATTTTTGGTAGATTAATTGAATTAAAATATTGTTATGTTTTTTCAATTGTTTCTGAAGTGAAAGAATTTTATAGAGAAAATATTATTGGTTTATAAAAAACGGTTATGTTTTCTTCTGGTAAGGCAGCTGTTATGCTAGGTCAGATAATTGGATATACCACATTAGGTTCAACTACACGTCATGAAGATTTGGGAAATTACAATGCTTGAAAAGAATTTAAATTAATGAGAGATACTGAAAGTTTGATAAGATCCATTTATATCATATTTTCTAGATCTTCAAGAAAGTGAGGTGAATTTCAAGATATTATTACTGCTTTAGAAAATGAAGCTATAACCGTTAAACAATTAAACATAGGTGGTTCTAAACATTTTGCACTTATATTAGTACTAAAAATAATTAAATATCTAGATTCTTGATTAATCTTTCTAATAATTAAGTTAATAAATAATTAAAAATTCTGAAGCATTAATTAAACATTTCAAAGAAGACGAAGCAAGTAATCCTATTTCAAAATACTGTTTGAAAAATACTCAATTTCATCTAAATTTACATATTGTGAATAAGGTTTTTGAGGAACAGCATTCATTGGATGTGATTTCATGAATTTTGCATAAAATAGAATAACATATTTGCATATAAAACAGCTGTGCTACAACAATATATTGACTTTAAATTTGCCGTTTGTGGAAAAAATTAACTGTAAATTGGTAATAAATTTTTTGGATATGTTAATGCTTTCATTACAGAATGAGTGATTTTCTGTACTTTCAAAATTAATGGATATTGGCAGGACATTTTTGGCATTTAATGTTAACTGTGTACAGCATTTCAGTTTAATGAATTTATTAAAAAATAAGCAAAGAAATCATTTGAAAGAAATTCACTTAGGCATGTTAATGTGAAAAAAAATTGTGTTTAAGTTGGGGAAAACTGTATAAATTTAGATTGCCTATATGCTGAATGGTTAAATTTTAAAAACAGAATAGAAAAGATTTAGTATAGACTTATATAAATGTAGCATTTATTATTTTTTGATAAATCCGAACACTATTCTTATTAGAGTTAAGCTATATTTTATTAAATAATTTTGTTATGCACTACCCAACTTTGAAAATGCAACATTAAGAAGGAGTTTGCCGAAAATTATGCAAATTTGAGGGTAGATGCACGTCATTGAGTTATGTGAATGATGCATATCAGCTGTCCAGTGCATATTGAAGAATATATAAGGAAAGGCACCTACAGAATGTTAATTTTTTGTGCCATTATTTTTGCTATGGAAATCATTGTAGAAAATTTGTTCCCCCACATCATAGATGCCAATGTCTGTAGTGGTCCAGGCTCGAGCAATGTAGACAGAACATGACACAGGCTCAGTTGAGTCACGCTTCTGTTTCTCGAATGATAGTCACCGCTTACGAGTGTGGCAACGATATGGAGAGAGGTCCAGTCCGGCAGCAATTATGGAACTCGACAACATGGAGTCATGGTGTTTGGGGCGCAACTGCATACGATTCCAGGTCACCTGTAGATCATATTCAGGACACTATGATGGCCCAACGATACGTGGTTAATGTGCTGCGGCTGGTGACATTCCCTTACCTTCAGAGAGTGCCCAATGCCCTTTATCTTACCTCTCCTGATCTCTCACCAATCGAACACATTTAGAATGTTATTGGATGCCATTTGCAGACACTGCCACTGCGTTGAGAAGATGAACTCTGCCATGTGTTATGCATATCATTTCGAAATAAAGATCATGTATCATTCATTGCTGCGTCTCTCTGTTTGCTGAGTTTTATTACTTTCTGGCCAATCCTCCTTAGTGTTGCATTTTCAATGTTGGGTTGTGTATTTAAATGTATATTAATGTATCAATTTTTATAATTCATAAACAGTTTTTTAAATACATATATTTTTGAAAGTAATGAATATTATTAAAATAGACCTAATTTAAGTAACAGTAAAAAAAATTAAGAGCCATACAAACAATTCTTGTATTAAAAAAGTGCATACATCAAAATAAAGTTGCGCATTAGTAGTAAAAAATTATAGGAAACGCTGTCAGTGACTATGAGCTTGTAAATGTTCATTGGTAAGCACTCCTGATGGGCACATGTGTGCTTCATACTCATTTGAATTTAAAAATTGAATTTATTATGCCAGCCAATTCCAGTGACTGTTGTCACTGGTATTACAGAGTATTCACTCTCAACTTGTAAATTTTTGGATAGTGACCATCAACACATAAGTCACCATTATCCAGCTTTCATAGCTTTTGGTGTATTTTTATTTATATTTATTTTGATGGACATCAGTATCTTATGATATAATTTTAAAATATATCTAAATTTACTGCGATAACCCATAACAGAAATTCATTACTTGACCTCAAGTGATCCTGGACATGTATATCATGGGTAATATTTAACAGGTGCCAGCATGTTTTGTTTTAATTTCAGTTAAAAATCTGTCTAAATAAACTACACTGCTGCACACTGATGGCAACACTATTGGTTGACCATTAACCTGTAAATAACCCATTACTTTGTCTGGTGCTAATGTCTTTCAGTTTAATCATATTTTTAAAATTAAGCTTAATATGCTACTTTACACCAGTGACTATCAATAAGACCACCTATAGGTTAGCAGTGACCAACAGCATTCACTGCATGAGTGTGCTTTAGTTTAGTTTAAATTTTAAAAGCTACAGCCTTCATTGTCTCTGTTGTGCTTCCGTTTAATTTAAATTTGAAATTCTGTCTAAATTAATTGCTCCTCTCATACTTCCAGCCATTTGGTTGATCAGCTGCCCATAGGTTACCGCATGACCAAATACTCTGGCAGGTACTAGTGTCCTTCAGTTTAATTTTTGTTTTAAAATTTATTTAAATATGCTACATTGATCTGCATAGTAGTGACCTCTAAACTGATTACTAATAACGTTGAACCTGTAAGGTACCACTGACCAATAGATTTTACCAGCACTGATGCTCTTCAAATTAATTTATTTAAATTTTTTACTCTTAGTGGCACTCTTACTTAATTTTTTTTGAAATGTTCATACTGGCATTTTCAGTTAAGCTATCCTTATTGCTATTTGGCACAATCTGTGATCTTTAATTTATCTTTCATATTTAATCAAAGTGTAATTGCTTTTCAAACTAGGCGAATTTAGACACAATTAATACATTTTTAATAGTTAAATCATCATTTAATTTTTGGTTTATGGGTTAACCTCTCCTGACAATGAACATGTAGATAATGTATTCTCTTTATGTGCTATTAATGTTCTTGAAATTAATTTTATTATAAAAATCTATCCAAATTAATTGCATTGTTTAACAATGGTGATCCATTGGTTTACGAACAAACCATAAACTTATAGGTCTTTGGTGACCAATAACCTTGACAAGTGCTGATGTGCTTTGAATTAATTTAAATTTGACAAGTGTTACCAAACTTTATGAACCATGTTACACAGGGTGTTTATAAATTCTCTATACATTTTTGAGATATATCTTCTAATTTCAATTTCTTTGGAGGTGATCTGAAAGAATGCTCTCAAGAGAGGAAAGAATAGCCATTGTTTGTGCCTTACACATGAATGTACATATCAATAGATGGAGGAGGACTTCGCCTGTAAATTCAGAAAACAGGCACCTACCAGAGCAGGTATTAAAACCTTGGTAAGAAATTCGAGTGAACTGGTAGTGTTAATGATGAAGACCATTCTGGGAGATCTTCGATAATGCCACAAGTTGAGCAAAACGTACAGGAAGCGATTACATGTAGCCCCCAGTCATGTACGTGAAGACTCAGCCAGGATCTCGGTATTTTGCACACTACTGTTTCGAAAACTCTAGCCTGTCATTTCAACAAGCATGCCAACCACATTTAAACCGTGGATAATCTTGAAGCCGAGGACTATGCAGCTCGGCAAGCTATGTGTTATGATTTGTTGGAAGCTGTCGAGAATGAAAACTTAATGGAGAATGTTCTCTTTTGCGATGAAGCCACATTCCATCTCAGCAGCCATATTTATAGGCATAATTGTGAAATTCTGGGCTAATGAACAACCAAACTTGCTACATGAATCTCAGCGAGACAGATCTAAATTAATATATGGATTGGAATAACTAAGCTCTATGGACTTTCATGTTTGCAGAAAGGACTATAACTGGGGAAATTTGTTTCGATATGTTGCAACTAAGCCACAGCTAGTATCAGATGGCATTTTTGGCACTGTTGTCTACCCAACAGGATGAAACACCTTCATATTTTGCCACTATTGTACATAATTATCTTAACATTTCCTGACAGGTGGATTGGTCACGGCTCTCAATGACTTTGGACTCCACAATCACCAGACTTAACTGCCCTAGACTTTCTCATATGAGGCTTCGTTAAATCCAAAGTGTACCGAGTAAAGATTGGCAGCATTGAACAATTAAAAAAGTGAATTATGGCTGCAGCAGCTGAAATTACACCAACAACTTTACATAAGGTGTTCCAGAGTGTAGTAAACAGTGGTAATTGTGCCTAGAAACTCGGGGGGGGGGGGGGGTACAGTTAATTGTATTAATTTAGTGTTCTACTATGTTACATTTTCATGTAAATAACTTATATTTCAGAATAAAGCCAGCTTAAGCAAAAATGTATAGAGACTGTATTTACATTATATTGTACTATCATATACATATTATTCCCTTGCATTTGCAAGTATCTTCACTGTGGAGAATCTGACATGCTTGTTTTATCCTTCATGCCCTTTCCAATTATAATCTATCCTTAGAGTGGATTTGACACTAAGATCTTTAATAATACCTTTCGTATTTAACTAATATGTAATTGATTTTCAAACTTTTCAAATTAGATACTATGAATATATTTTTAATAGTTACATTATCATTTCATCTTTTTAATAGTGTATTATAATTGATCTACATTAAAATAAATCAAAATATATTATTGTAATTATTAAAAGATGTTTCTAACGTGATATATTATATGCCTCATACAGTCATTTATTTTTTAGACAATTTTTTAAGTAAAATTTGATAATGAAGGGCTTCTTTTAGGTGCTGACATTGCAAATGTATGTAATGAAGCTGCGTTGTATGCCGCCCGAAATAAAAAGAAGAAAATTACGACAAGTGACTTGGAATATGCTGTTGAAAGAGTAGTTGGAGGTTAGTCTTACTCCTTATTTCATTTAGAAATTTCAAACGACATCACAAGAAGTTAAAGTTTATTCTCATTTGTTTTGTGTTTTTATGATATTTTTTATGATTTTTTTAAAATACCCACACTTATAGCATTGATCAGTTAGCCTGTACTAAGTTTATAAAAAGATACGAATTCCTGATTATGTTAAATATGAAGATAGTTTTTGTTTTATATGTGCTAAAACTTGGAACAAAGAAGCCACTTTTAATTAGAACATTACACAAACATTATTTTGGATGCAAAGGTCATCAGGCATGAGTTCTTTTAGTTCAGAAACATCAAAATCTTTGCCGATCTAAAGTTGCTTTTTTTGCCCAGTTTAAAATTTTACATCGGCATGTTTCTCTTCCAATTTAGAAGCACCATTAGTTTGGCATAGATTTCAAATAAAATTATCCTGATTTTGAGAGCAGTCAGGTGCATCTCTTTCTTCTCAAAGAGAAAATAATAATAACCTATGCGAAAAACTTTTTTTGCTTTTTGCTAAAATAGTTATTTGGGGAAGGGGGCTAATTTTAAATTTTACATTAGCATTTTACATTTTAAATTTTACAAATCTCTTTCAATATCAATCAGAATTGATTGAATGAAGGCTTCAGTAATTTATTGATTAATGGTGGGTGCATTTTTGTATGTCCAGATCAACATAAAGAATTTGTTTTCATGAAAATAACTGTGAGATATGCTTTTGTCATTAAAATGTCCAGTCTTTTATCATCTTCAGATTTATGTTTTAAGCCACAGGAATAGCAATGATTCAATAACAATAATTAGAAAATAAATTCAAAAGCAGCAGTGCCAAACACTGGAAATGAATTTAACTTCACTCCTTTTGAATATCCTTCAGTGGAGAAATTTATGTTAACATAACGAAAGTTGTCATGCTGAAGTATAATGAGTTTAATTTTGAAACATATAGAGACTTGAAAATTATTTTAAACAGCGTATCTGTAATACACTAAGTATTCATGTATCTACTGCATAACAAACAATCAAAGCAAACAGTAACATATTCTTGTAAAAAAAGTAGCCATCAGGAAAATCTTTGAAGTCTGATCAGTGGCAGCTCATGGACTATTTAAATGGAGATATGCAAAATAAATTTCATAAATTAAATATGCAGATACAACGTAACTTACAAATTAAAATACATTTACATTTTAAGAAGTTTAAGGTAAACAATGCAACTAAAAGAAAACAAGTTCTCATAAGTAAAAAAAAATAACATTTTATTTTTTACAATGGAATGTTATAAAACCCAAATATTGCTTACAAAATAGCTTTGAACATTCACAAAATAATCAAGTACAACTTTTGTAAATTAAATCCACTCATCTATTCCCCCCCCAAGGCAAACAAATCAGTAATGTTTTCATTGAATTTATGTGTCATTTATCATGTTTTTTTTTTTTTTAATTGAGAGCATAGCTAAAGCACTTGTCCTCACTCATAGTGCTTCTTAAAAATGTCTTAACTTGCAACAGTTTGTAGGTCTCCAAAACCATACTCTGTAAGTTGATTTCTGTAACATATTGTAGAAGACTAATGGCATCAGTCATATTTCTAAAATTTGATCTGTAAATTATTCCTAGTTCAGTTTCCAGACAATCCTTCTGTAACAAGGAATAAACATTGGTTTGTTTGCTCATGAATCTGAGTTGGAAACTTTTTTCATACTCTTGGAATTTTGGAGCTTAAAGGAGAAAAACAGTAGTGTAGGGAGAAATAAAATAAAACCTCTCTTTAACTTGATTCGTGAGAACATCATATATATCTTTATCTGCTACAATTCTATTTACATGTATATTTTCTTTCCTCCTTTTTCTTGAATTTTGTTATCTGAAGTTGGTTGTCTGACACACTGAAACTTATAAATGGCGTAATATTATGAATCACCATAAGCCAAGCCACAAATTCCGAGTCTTCTAACATACGACAAATAACCCCTGATTAAGACACAATAACACGGCGAATAAATACTAATTCCAAAGTCAAACAACAAAAATCAGCGTTATATGTTCAAAATTTTCACAGGACTAGTTTCGATGGTTTTACCAAACCACCATCCTCAGCTGCAAAACTGCAAATGAACAAGATAGGACATAATGATTAGATAAGATAAGAAAGCCTGGACAAGAATAAGCAAGTGGTGCCATCTGTTGGTGAAACCAGAACTAAAACATAATTTCTTTAAAGGCCGAAGGCAAAGATGGATTGGAATTAGGATCATTAACTAGAACAGAAAGATTTTTTTGAATGTGAAATGCCTCTAGAAAATCCAGTTTCCAATGGAAGATGTTTTTTGAATAATTTTGGCAGCAGAAAAATTGAAAGTGTGATTTTCGGACCAACAATGTTGAGCAACAGAAGACTTTGCTTTTTCTAACATGCCTTCTTGACTTTTCTTAGGCCAATGTAAAAAACCCACTGGCAAGGTATAAATACCCCAGAATTCATATCCGGAATGGGGTCCTTGAGTTTAGAAGTTGGAATTTTATTGATGGGAGAGTAAACAACCCGAAAGTTAAATTTCTGCAAAATATGTGCAACTTTATAGCTAATTGATGGAAAGAAGGGAATAACAACAGAATTTTTATAATCTCCTAAAATAAGAGTGTGGCTTTTAGTGTGTTGAGATGAGAATTTTTTAACTGCTTGATTAATAATGTTAGGTGAAAAGCCCCTGTCAATAGCTATTGCTTTTAAATAATTTAGTTCTTCATCAAGGGCTAGTTTGGAGGAGCAAACTTGAAGAGCACGGAAAACATAGGAATAAAATGAAGCTAACTTTTGTTTAGTCGGATGACATGATTTAAAGTGTGGTGGAAGGCAAACCGATGAAGGTTTACGGTAAACTGTAGTACTGAAGTTGGATGTGTTGCGTGTGACCAGAATGTCGAGAAACGGAAGAGAATTGCAAGTCTCAAGTTCAAAAGTGAACTGAATAGCAGGATCAATAGAATTCATTGTTGAAAGAACTCTATTTAAATCATCTTTATTACCTTCAAACAGGGTAAAAGTATCGTCTACGTAGCGGAACCATGCCGGGAAGTTTAAAGTTTCAAACAATTTTGATTCATAATAATGCATGTAGATATCAGCCAGGATGGGACTGAGGGGGCTTCCCATGGCTAATCCCTCAGTTTGCTTGTAATATTTATTTTGGAAAACAAAATGTGTTTGTTTCAAACAGAGTTGAGTGAGAGAAATTAGCTCATCAATTTCGATGCAAGAGAAATGAAATTCGCGAAGTCTGGTTTCTAGACATCTTAATGCACCCTCCACTGGGACATTGGTGAATAATGATTTTACATCAAAAGAAACCATGAGTAAATTACGAGGAGAAATGTTTTTAACCTTTTTTACAAACTCTATTGAATTTTTTATGGTGTAAATGTTATTGTCTAATAGAGTGGAAAATCTAGAAACTAAATATTTAGCTAATGGATACGAGGCAGTACCTAATTTGATTCTGGAATAGGAATACCAAAAGGAAATGGGAAGGATCTGGAAATTTTGAAAATATAACGCTAATTTTTTTGTTTAAAAATTCTGTGTTTATTGCTACGATTTAATGCGTTTTATTTTCCATGAATTCATACTCTTCCCTATATTCATACAATATATTGATAATTCGACTCTTAAAATTCCATCTTGTAGCTGAACCATGAGATATCCCTTTTCTAACAGTTTCATCTAGAATAGTGCAAGCTCAAATGCACTGCAAAACAGGATATAATCAATAATTTTTGTTAGAACATAATGATTTTTGATAACCTTCGAATTGTGTCTTTTAACATTTGAATGAAATGCAGTTTTGAGTTGTTGGTGAATATGCCACTTTCCTAGCAAATTATACTCTAAGATAGATTTTAAATGTGATTGTGAGTATTCATGCTTTTTTATTTTCTGAGTTAAATGTGATAAATCAGCAACACCGTAATTCACCCAGTTTGAATCATCATTCTGTTTTGCAAACATGAGACATGGAAAACAAAACAGCCTGCACATACCCATGAATATTTCTCATATAAATCAAGCTTGAATTTCCTTTTGAAATATCTAGTCGTACATTTCGTCACCTGGATAAGGCTTAGTAAAGGTGTTGACCTGAGTAATTTCATCTCAATTTTTCTTTCCAAAGACAGTGTTGAAAAATGTAGTTGCTTTAGTTCCATAACTTTGATTTTAATCAGTGCCATCTTAACAGTTTACACTAAGTCATAAAAAATATAGATATCATAAAATAATAACAATAAAAAATTAGAAGAAAATGGGAAAAAGAATTTTCTATAGCAAAGGATTTGGAGGAGATAGCTGCAAGCAGTGCAAGCTTCCTCACACTGAGGATGTGCGAATGGAATGCTATTAGCGATGCCCTTTCTCTCCCACGACTCTTATAAAGATCACTCCTAACATGAAACGTGCAGAAAGGCAAAAGAGATGGTGAACAGATGGCAAGATCAACTGTGTGAAAGGTCCTTTTAGGTTCGTGGAAGTGAGTATGTTCTCCATTATTGAGGAGACATTGAGAATGATCTTCAATCACTTCCTCGATTTTTCTACCTCAAGGATTAGTATCCTTATTCTCCCCAAAGCAAAGTATAGCCGTTAAAGTCGCCTATTATGACAAAAGGTTCAGGCAGTTGCTCTATTAGACTATCCAAAACCCTTTGATTAATGTGGATGTTTGGAGCCAAATAAACAGAACAAACTGAAACCAAGGTCATTTTATTTATTTGGATGGCAACAGCTTGGAGGCTTGTAGTTAAAAAAAGTGAATTGCATGGGTAGTCTAGTGAGGGGAGGAGACTTACACCTCCACTAGCACATTTACCTACAAGACTGTCTTACCTAAAATTTAAGGACCTTCAAAGTTTAGTATGTTTTTCTGGTTTCAGTATAGTTTCGGGCAATGCGAAAACCACAGAATAATGCAAATTGATCAAATCCTTGATGTTATCAAGGTTTTGGTGAAAACCGCGACAATTCCAAGAAATGAGAGTGACCATTATGTCTGATTTTTCTCTTTCATATGCTGTGTTTTTGTTTTACGTGGAAGTAGGTTCTTCAGGATGTTCAAACCCTCTTCCACCTCCATCTCTGAGTCAAGATGATCAGAGCTACAGCTGGAAAAAGAGCTTACACTTATGTTCCTGTGAGGCTTTGATGCTTCTTTCTCTTTTCCTTTTTTGATAAGGTTTTCTTTTACTTTATTATATTCTATTGTAATTATTGAATCTTTCAGTTTTTGTGCTGTATTTGGTTGTAGGTTTTGGACTGTCTGCTTATTTTATATATTTATAATTTGGGTGGCTATGGATTTTTCCGATTTTACTGCGTTTGCATATGATACAGTTTTTTGAGACTGCAACTAGTTTTCCTACTTCTGCATACGGAATATTTCCAGTTAATTTAATATTTAGCACTTCCTTCTCAGACTTCCATTTTGGGCAAAGTCAAGAGAATGTCGTGTGCTCCCATTTGCAATTTGCACACAGTGGGCTGCAATTTTCACTGTCGTGGCCTTCCACAGAGTAATGTGCACATGTGAGTTTGCAATGACAGGACATTTTTGAATGGCCGAATCGCTGACATTGAAGACATCACAAGGGGTTAGGTATGTAAGATCTTACAGGGCAGTTTAAATACCAGGCCTTAATACTTTTCGGTAGATCAGGCAAATTGAAAGTCAGGATTACGTGTTTTGTATTTATCAACTGGCCTTCTTTACGCATCTTGATCCGCCTTGCAGCACTGACATTCTGATCAGACAGTTCTGAGACAAAGATGAGGTCTATCTCAGATATAACTCCCTGATTGATTGTAATTCAATAATTTGTGCTTTGATTCATTGATGTCAACTTGCCCAATTTTTCTGAGTTTGAGAAGGTTAGCAGGTTGAGTTGGAGAAACTGTTTCTATTAGAAGATCTCCAGAGTGCAGTCGCTTTATTGTCTTTGGCTCTCCAATAGTCGCTTGCTTGTATATGTTTTTTTATCAGGAATGATGACATTTATTGAAGATCACCTTTTGAGTTGGTTATGACAAGAAATCTAGGTAGAGTTTGTTTAGAATTTGCATTCACATTCGTTTTTACTTTTTTTGATGAAAGGCAAGTTTTGTTTTTTTCGGTAGAAGAAGTCATATTGAAGATGAAAAATGATTCAGACCCGGCAGCCCCACCCACCATGGAGTCCAACAAGGGGACGCAGAAATCTGTACCAGGGTTAACCGTGTCTATATGCAATCTGAAGCCTCCACAGTCAGCTCTCCTGAAAGCTTATCCTCAAGCCACTATCCTTAAGGATGAGTGACCAGTCGATTGACACTAGCAGGGACAACTAAGTGCCTCTTGTTTCAATCTGTAGCAGAGGCCAAAGCAGTGTGTTGGAGACAGTACCTTGCCCCTCAACTACCAGGACCATCCTATCCAGCCTTACGGGTCACAACACATAGATGATTTTCTCTCCGTGAGACACTCTAAACAAAGGGATGTGACAGAATTTCACGTTGAGCCTGAACTTCTGAAAAGGAAAACCACAAGGGCAGAAAAAATGAAAATAGTAGAGAGAAGGAGAGATGAAAAGGAAGGGAAGAAGTTCACTAAGGGCTCCAAGATCGTGACCCCCGTCTAACCAAGAAAGTAATCCCTTGAAGGGCTTGGGAACTGTGACTAATACAATGAGTAGTGTTGATTTTAACCAAAAAAAAAAAAAAGTATTCAGTCCCTATAAACTGGTTTTCAAGGGCATTTCTCTCATAGCATGTGCGAACGAAAGAAAAAACAAGTGCTTTGGGCTATACTGTAACTTACAATACAGTACATTAGAATATTTAAAGGGGTTTAAAACACATCCTGGAAATTGGCAAAAATCTGCAAGTGTATTATTTCATTTTAATTTCTTAATAAATTTATATCTTTGTTTTTCTTTGGGGGTTTGCATGCTCGTGTGCATAAATAGAGGAGATGCCACTGAGTCTGGTATTAGGAATTTGTAAATCTTGTATATCAGCATCAGACAAAGAACTTCAACATTACAACCTCAGACTGAAATTTATGAAAATCTTCTTAAAAACTGTAGGCTCAGAATGAAGCATTCTGATTTTCATAGAATTTCTTCTATTCCATATCAGTTGCTAAAACAACAACAAAAAAATGGGAGAATATTTATTGGATTTAAATTAAAAGTTCATGCAAAGTGGCAATTATGTACTTCAGAAGCAAAAAGAAGATATAGGGTTATCATTTAAGGATGATGTGGAAAAATCAATTAGAAATAATAAAACCAAGAACTAGAAAAGCATAATTCAGAAGGTAGCAAAATATTTTCAAAATTTAATCTCTGGGTTAAAAAAATAGATTTTTTGGTTTCTGATTTTGACTGTTATTGGGGGCTATTTAAGGTTGAATGCACTCATATATCCCTCTTGATAGACCAATATAGCACATTAATATACCAGGTAAATCAAAAATAACAAAAAAAGTAAAAATTTGATAAATGTTAACATCAGTCAAGTAGGTACAAATGTTCAATGTTATAGCTGCTATTCATGAAAATGGCTGTCAGACATTAGCATGACATGCTTCACAGCATTAAAAATTGTTAATCATAATTTCTGATGTTGGCAAAAAACATTGGCACCTTCTGATTATCAGCACGTGCCCCAACAAAAAATCATAAACTTGTTTACAGTTAAATTTTCCCCAAGCTAATGGGCAAAAGGCAACAGCCATTTTAAAAATGACGGCATCCTTAGAATCCCATACATGAGCAATTAATGAATAAAATTACAAAATGCAAGAAATATCAGTTATAAAATAGTTACCTTTTTCAATAAATCTTTTTTTTTTTTTTTTTTTTTTTTTTTTTGTGCTGCTGTCGTTGCATTGCACATTGTTGTTGCATGGACAAAAACAGACTTGTGCTGTGTACATATTTGTATGTCACACAAATACTTTTTGGTGACATTGTGGATTGTCACATAACTACAGACTGCTTTGCCCCATGAATACTTTTTTCCATAACTTCAGTATTGTCATTAATGATAGACAGCCAAGGGTTCAAATAGTCTCACAATCAAAAGTCATAAAATGAAAAGTCTGGAGATCTTGGTAGCTATTCAAGCAGGAAAGATTTAATGAGGACCCCAGTAATTATATTGATCATAGCAGACATTAGGCAGGGCCTAACTGGAGACCTTCACTCTGCTTGAATATTAGGCTATGGATCATGTACATCTCTTGAAAAGAGGGAATGATGCTTTTACTTGAAAGCATTGCATGATGCTTGACTTTGATAGAAACAATTCAAAATATACTGCTGTGGACTTTCTGAAAGAAAAAAAAGACATATAATGAATGATACTGTGAATCTGCACCATGCTGTCATTGGCTGATGCATAGAGGGTTCCATAATCACATGTGAGTTCTTTTTTTCCCCAGATACAACAGCAGTGTGCATTTTTGCCTCTGTTAAAAGAAAAGTGACTCATCAAGTCATAGGAAATTTAACAACTGTATTGTTTGCCATTGGTTGAAAAGTTAAATTTCCAAATTCATAATAACGCTCAAATTCAGTTGATTTCAGTTCCATTTTGAATTTTGTAAGCATATTTATTAGGATAATTCTGAGTGATCATCATATTGTCCTGTACGAAAAGCCAGTTCTGTGGTCTACTGTACTGACATTACTGATAAACTGCAGAAAAATATAACTATTCTGGCAATAAATGTTTTCATTATTAAAAAAAAATCCCATGTCTTTCTGTACATATCTATGAAAACTGCATTGTTTGTGTCCTTTTAGTTATTGAATTTTTACTTTTTCTGTTACTTTTTGATCACTTGGTACTTATACTGTATTCTGCCTTGTAAAATGTAACATAGGCAAATTTATTGTTATAAGGTATAAAATATTGTTTCAATATGTTACATAATTTGTTTCTCTGTATTATAGTAATGTACAGAAATAAACTTTCTGTATATAAAATTAAGAGCCATCTAGACACACTAGTTTTATTATTTCTGTATGCTCTGTATCTTATCTAAGTGATATGGTGAAGTTTATTTTACTAGAAGTTATTTTAATATTGTACTTTCTAAGCGCTGAAGTTATTTTAATATCGTACTTTCTAAGCTTAGCCTAATTTGTAATTGTGGGTAAAAGCCAGCAGAAAAATTTAAAGAAAGGAATTAACGTAAAAATAACTACCGTATTTGACGGCATATAAGATGCACCCTTATTTAGACAGCCACACACAAGGAAAAAAAGTTTCAATAGTGTGGTTTCTTTTAGTTCTCATGTTTCATAAAAGCCAAAAAAAAAAAATTATTGAATGCAATTACCTTCACGTATAAGATGCAGGAAACTTTTTTGAGACCAAATTTAGGAAAATAGTGCGTCTTATATGCTGTCAGATACGGTAGTTAATTTAGAAATCTTGTACTCTGTGAGTGTTAGGCGGAAAAGGTTTTTTTTTTTTTTTTTTTTTTTTTGAAACGCTTAACTTATGGAAATAATAAGAATGGAGTTTTTATTTATAATCTGATAAACTTATATTAAAACTGTTTATGCAGCCAGTTGAGAATCTAACTTAAATTGATTGAATGTTCTGTTATATATTAAATTATATTATTATTTATATTATTCTGTTATATATAAATTATTATATCAGTAATGGTTTTTTAGACAAAAAGATGCATCATTAAATTAACTGATATTGTTATTGCATAGATCTGCATACATGTCGCATATTTACATGAATTATAGCATTATATGAATTTGTGTCAAATAAAATACAGTTTTGATCTTTTTAACACTTATTTCTAAAATGTTAACAACAACAACAACAAAAAATGTTTTCTTCATTATTCTGTTGCATTTTTAATTTTAGGGACAGAGAAAAGAAGCAAAGTTATTACACCCCAAGAAAAAAGGGTTATTGCATTTCATGAATGTGGTCATGCATTGGTTGGATGGCTGTTAAAATACACAGATGCATTACTTAAAGTATTAATTAGTTTTTTAATAAATTAATAATAAGCATAATTTGTATGATGATAAAAAATTACAAAAATGATGAAATAATAAACGACTTGTATTTCGTAGCAGAAGTTGATTAAAATGCCTTTGAATTATACAACAAATGCTGTTTTTCTTCATTATACGATAGCCAATATTTTATATTTAACTTTTAGAAATACACTATTTATGTAATATATATTATTTTGATTTGTTCAATTTTTTTTTTTTACTGTGTGTTTTTATTACCTTCAGATTATGAATATGATTATTAAGATAATTGAAGAAAATAAGAGAGCACAATATGTAATGAAAAATTTATGTATGCTAAATAGAAAGAAATCTCATGGCCTGGGAAGAGCAGCTTTGCCACTCAGAGAATTTACTTTTCAAAATATCCCCCCCCCAATTTCTGTCCTATTAATAGTTATCTTTGACCTTAAAAAATTCTATGTGTATTATAATGACAGTATGTAAAAATTAGTTAAGCAAAATTAAAGCAAAGCAACATTTTTATACTTTTTTACTAACTGTTTGAAATGAAAATCTTAATTCTATATGCTTTAAGATATTGATACTTAATCCTTGAGATATATTTTTCTATATAATATGTTTTTAATATAACTCTATAATTATAAATGCTTATCAATAGGTTTCAATAGTACCAAGGACAACAAATGTACTAGGATTTGCACAGTATCTTCCAACTGACCAGAAGTTATATTCTACAGAAGAGGTCTGTTCTTTCTCTTTCTCTTTCCTTCTTTCCTCCCCCCTAGGCTTAAAGAATAAGTTTGATAGGGTGGAAAATAAATCAATATGCATTTAAAATTGTTCCCCAAGAGAAATCAAAATACGTGTAAAAGTGCGAGAAATTAATTGCTATTGTAAATATTCTAAATAGCTGAAAATTTTTATATTTCTTAGATTATTATCCTTGTGATAACATTAAGAGCTAATTTTCAAACTTGTTTACAGTGAACATTAATTTTTTTTATTTGTTAATAATATGGAATTTTTTAGTATTGTGATACGTAGCTTGAAAAGTATGGAATATTCCAGAATTAATGTTTTTTATCTGAATATTTTTTAAAATTTATTTTTCATGAAAGAAAAGTAAGCAACAATGAAAATTTGGGGTGGTTTTTCTTTCATTTAATAATAATATTCAAAGTATATTTTCAGATATTTGTGTTGAAATGAAATAAGTGACATTTAATTTTATGCATCTAAAAGCACAACAGCAGTTCAAAAGGATATATTAACCGAACATCTTGTCAATATAACTTTTCTGTAGGTGAAAAGTTTCAAAATGTTATCCTTTTTCTTCAACAGACTTAGAATAAGATGAAATACAAATTTGAAACTAATACTAAAAGTAAATAAAAATATTATATAAATAAATAATAAAATACTAAAACTGTTTTCTGTATACTTTTTTTAGCTGCTATCTTTGGTGAAGTTTATATGTTTATTAGAAGTAGTAGTATCTTATTTATGGGTTTATCTTATTTATGAGCAGCCTATTGCTCGATATGACCACCCAGCTTCAAGCAACCTTACAATGCGACCACATTCGAAGTCATTTAGTTGTCTGTAAGGTCTTCAATATCATCGTAATGGCTGGTATCTTTGGTTGCTTCTTTACGGAATTACAATGGCAGCAACAAAAAAAGATAAATTTTCCGCCTCTGTTACTAGTTTTATACTTTGTGAATTGTGCACTAGAAATGCATGTTATGATCGCAATTCCCGTTCATTTGCCTTGAAACTTTGATCATTTGAATGTTCGATCAAGATGTTTCTGTATACCAAATTTCGTCACGATCCCAAAAGTCCTTCTTGGTGCTTAGATTTTTTTACAGAAGAGTGTATTTAGCCTCTTGCAAGATGCATTTTTACCTTTGGAATATTAAATAAAGTTTAGTTTTGAATTGTGTATTGAAGCTGTGTTTTTCTTGAATGACTTTCTGATGTATCTCGAGTATAGTAATGGTGTTAAACCAGTGCTACAGAGTTAACTAGTAACTGATTGCTAGTTAATTCAGAATTGCTAGTTAACTCAGAATTGCTAGTTAATTCTAGTGTTGCTCAGTCTTCTGAAAGTTTCAGAAAAATGCTGTTATAAAATTTCAGATAAATTGTTGTTGCATTTTCCTGAAACTTCTAAAATGTTGCCAAGTTGGAAAAAAACTGTCAAATAATGCCAACTTGATAAAACTTGTCATCAAAGCTCGTCAGGAGAATTTCTGGCTATGTCAAAGTTCTACATGAGTTATTTTTACAATTTTAACATTATTGGATTCAGAAACACGAGTTCTACAGTTCTATATTACAAGAAATAAGTGTTTAGATGCAAAACACATGGCTACAAATTTGATTGCACAAAAGTATACTTTAAAATTCTTGCCTAAAATGCAAAATTAAATAAATTAACAGAACAATCCATAATATTTCAGCAATGTACAAAATCCACAATTAGGTCAAATAGCATAAGATATTTTCAGAAATTTATAACAGTTTGTACTTGATTTGAACCTGTAGGATGTTTAAAATGATTATACAAATAAATAACACTTGAACAATTTTTCATAGATCCATAGTTCAAGTTCAGAGAAATTTTGGTTACATGAAAGCTTTCAGTAAAAAAAATCAAAATTATAAAAATAAATAAATAAATAAAAGCATATATGAAAAAACTTTTTTTTAATGCTAAAATAGGCGAGAAAACAAAAACATTCCACGTAATCAAAATTGTTCAAGACATCATAAATTAATTTAGACGTCCTATTAATACTGATTAAAGAAAATTCTATTTACGAATTTTAAAATTAGCTGGGGCTATAATTTTAATCAAATCATTCTTTGTCCATATATTTTCCCAGTAAGTATGGTATTGATATCTCTTTTCTCTGTAATGCTGCATTTTGAATTAAGAAATGTTCCATATAGTTCTATTTTTAAAATTTCATCTAAAAAGAGTGTAAAGTGGCAGATTTATTCATTTATATGTAACTGGATGATAATTGGTGTATGAAATGGTTGTTTTACAATTTCTTGTTTTTAACTTTCTTATGCTAATTACTTAAAAAAAATATTTTTATAGCTTTTTGAAAAAATGTGTATGGCATTAGGAGGACGAGTGGCTGAGACAATTGTTTTTAATCACATAAGCACAGGTAAGTTTTGTTCTCAAATATGATATTCTTCATTGTTGTCTAAAATGAGAACATTATCATAATTATGTCTATCTTCTTCAATAAGATATTTGCAGGACTGAAATACAAATGAAAAAATAAATAAATAACTAAATAAAATGAAAGTGCACTATAAAACTTCTGTCAGGCAGTGGAAATTGACATAAATAGACTTATGCAAAAAATGGCAGTTGGGAGGGGAGGGGGGATTTGAGGAAGAAAGCACATGCAAAAAAGGATGGAAAGTTGCTTATATGCATATGCATGCAGAAAATAACAACTTCCTAAATGTTTTCATTTTAGACAAAAGAATTAAAATTAAAATTCTTAAAATAATGTGTTTTATTTCAGTTTCTATCATATTTATATATAATGTTTAGTATTATATTAAAATCTTAAATAAGCTTTCCATGAGCTCTATAAAATTATAAAGAGTATGTAATGAATGGAATATATTATGTTTAGAAAATAGTTATTGCTTTATTATAAATTATTTCAATTCTGAAAAAAATTGTGCATACTGAAGTTAATGTAACAAACTTAGAAGTAAAGCTAGCCATTTGTATGATCAGCTTAAAAATATTAGTTATTATAAAAAAGAAAAAATATATAATGGTTTTAATGCATTCAACTAGTATTTCACAGATTCCAACTGCTGTAATTTCATAGAAATATTTAATGATTTTAATGACAAACTTAATGTATTACTTTTATTTGTGACACTAATTTAATCAGCTGTTCCTGTCGAATGATCTATGTTTTAGATACAATAAAAATTATGGAATGCAAAGAAATTATATAATGATTTAGCTCATTATGTGGTAACAAACAGTGGTAACAAAGGTAAAGAAAAGTGACAAAGGAGAAAGTTTCTTTCAGGATAAATTGGAAATTATGTACTTTTGTAATATTGTGCTTTATAAAATTGTGTGCTTTATTTATAATGAGAGAATATCAGTAATAAGAGTACAACTTACATCGTCATTATAAAACATTATAAAAAAATTTGAAATGTAGGTAGGGAAACTGAGGGAAGAAAATTCACACTTTTAAAAAATCTGTCTTACGACAACAAAATGTTTTTATAATGGCAGAGAAATCCACTGAAGCAAACTCTTCATACAAGTTTTGCTCTCATGCACATCATTGCTCAAAGATCAAAACCATTTAATGATGGTGAACTCATTAAAGAATGTTTGATTAAATCTGTTGAACATCTTTGTTCTGACAAAAACAATTATTTAAAAATATTAATTTTTCAGCCATCACAGTAGCAGAACATATTAATGCAATCTCTAGTGATGTATGGTGTCAGTTAATTGAAAAAAATTATAAATTTTGTAGCATTCTCAACAGCAGTTGATGAAAGTACTGACATCACCGATAGAGCACAGCTTGCCATTTTTATACGAAATGTTACTGATGAATAAGAAGTACAGTAAGACCCCGCTTAACGCGAGGGATACGTTCCATCAAAGTAGAGCGTGATGCGAAACAGCGCTAAACGAGGCTATCTTTACATGTAAATATTGGGTTAGGGGAAGATGGCTAGGAATCGGTTAGGTATTAAATTAAAAAGTTTTTTTTAATAAAAATAAAACCAAACATTTTATTTCTTAAAGCCCAAATTAATACCACATTATTATTTCTTGCAAAAATAAAACAAATATAAATAACAAAACGAATATTCTTAAAAAAAAAACAAATAAAATTCCAAGTCAGTCATATTTAGTTAGCCTTCCGCGTTTTCAGTGTTCTGCCTTTTTGTGACAAAAGCATCTAATGTTGTTTGCCTTTTCTTTCCGTTGTTCTCTTAAAGTTCTTCATAAACGGATAGAGCATTTCAAACACCACGCCTTACTTTCGAGCTCCGTCAAATTCGGATCATTTTCAAGATGATCATTTTTCAGTTAGGTAGACAAACTCCTTTTATACAACGCCATCGAAAGTTCTTTTTGCTCTTCTTCTGAATCACTGCTGTCAACATTTTTGTTTTCTTCTTGTTCAGTTAATTCCTTGAGCTCATCATTAGAAAGACTAGCCGCTGCTTCTTGAATTATTTCTTCGACATCTTCCACATTTGACCCCTTCAAAATATCTGTACAATACCGCCCAAACAAGAAATAACAAGTACACTCTTGGATACGTATTGAAACTAGCGCTGCCTAATATTTCGGGGAATCCCCGTATGATGCGAGCGATTTCGTGGAATCCCCGGGTTGAAATAAAAGAGCGCTAAACCGAAACAGCGCTAAACGAAACAGCGTTAAGCGGGGTCTTACTGTAGTTGAGGAATTTCTGGAAATAATTCCTATAAAAGATGGCACAGAATATTTTTAATAAAACTGCAGTAGATAAATACAGAGGGTGTTTACACATGTTTAGAGTGAGTTCAGGAATATTATATTTAAAATTAATTTAGAAAGTTCTCTTTAAAAATTTCCAGGGGTTTTGATTTCCATTCCTTTTCCACTGCTTTCCAGAGTCCATCAATCATGTCAATCTTGTGCTTAGCAAGAGCTCTTTTCAAGAGACCAAAGGCACAATAATCTGTAAGTGAAATGTCAGGGGATTTTGCAAGAATATCTTGAAAACATATATATGTTGTATCAGTTTATATGTAGTATATGTCTGTATCAGTCTTCATTTTTTTCAAGAAATGCAGTGGTACATTTCAAAGTGTGATTTGTTGCTTTAATGAAGTTTCATTCTTTGAAAGTCGCTGGGGATAAAGAAATGGTGTTTCTTCTGTAAATATTGGATGTGAAACTTTCATTGAACTAATTTTAACATTTTCTCCCACTCTTCTTATTTTAAATTTCCCACTGTAAGAGAATCCTGCAGCAGTCATAAATCTCTTACTGAACTTTGCAGTAACAAAACCAGGTTTGTATAGTTTTTCTCTTCTTTTTCAATAATAAACAGATATTTTTTGGTGCAGTCATTATGCAAACCCATGCTTCATCAAGGATCACAATGTATTTCCATTTATCGCTTCCTAAATAGTTTTCATACAGAATTCTACAAGTTGTTCTGCATTGAGTTACATGCCTCGGCAAAAGCTGCTGAACATTACGGTTTTTCTGCTTTTTTAAGTTGTAAATCTCGGTTTATATTTATTTATTATAGCTACATATATATTTAAAGACTGCAACTGATTTCTGCATCAGCGGATTTCATGGTTTTTTTTTTTTTTTTTTTTTTTTATATATATATATATTTCCCCCTTCCAATTGTGTAGAAGTAATGATTGACATTTTTTCTTTTTCAGTCCATAAGGTGATCTTTTGTCTTAAATTTAATACATTTTCACAAAATTTTTGCTTATTTTGCACTTTGAAATTTTAAAATCATCCATTTCACAATATTTTTCAACATTTCTCTTTGGAAAGTGCAAAAACATATTCTTTATCCCACAGCTCGTTTATATGTGGTGTTTTGAAAGAAGAATAAATTTAAAAGTAGCAGAAAATATTTCTCATTTCAAATAATAAGCTGTTAACAGAAATTTTAATTCCAAAGAAATCATTTGCTCTCTCTCTCTCTCTCTTTTTTTTTTTTTTTTTTTCAATTCTTTATTAAACATTCTAAAAATACACAAACATCCTCTGTACAAATGAAGTTGGGATAAAATGGTTGGATTTGCAAGTGATGGTACAGCTGCTGTGGTTAGTAAAAAAATGAAGTATGGATAAAATTAAGAAATATGGTAAAAGAAGAAAATGTTTGGAATATGTTTTGTGCTGTACATTGCATCATTCAGTAAGATGTTCTGTGTACCAAAAGTTTGAAAATGGATGATACTATGGAAGTGGTAATTAAAGTAGTAAATTTTTTATCAGTGGATAAGATGTGAATCATCGAGAATTTGTTGTAGCGTTTAAAGAAATTGAAAGTAAGTATTGTTATGAATTTGGTATTTAAAAAGCTAATTTTAGTTCATTATAAATTAAATGGTTATTTTCGCGCAGTGCAGCGCGTAACGATATTAAAGAAAGCTAAGAAAGGAAAAATCCTTTTTGTTTTTTTTTTTTTTTTTTTTTTTTTTTTTTTTTTTTTTTGTTTTTTTTTTTTTTTTTTTTTTTTTTTTTTTTTTTTTTTTTTTTTTTTTTTTTTTTGTTATATTTTTTTTTTGTTTTTTTTTTTTTTTTTTTTTTTGTTTGTTGTTTTTTTTTTTTTGCGTTTTTTTTTTTTTTTTTTCTTTGGAGGTTTTGTTTTTTTTTTTTTTTGTTTTTTTTTTTTTTTTTTTTTTTTTTTTTTTTTTTTTTTTTTTTTTTTTTTTTTTTTTTTTTTTTTTTTTTTTTTTTTTTTTTTTTTTTTTTTTTTGTTTTTTTTTTTTTTTTTTTTTTTTTTTTTTTTTTTTTTTTTTTTTTTTTTGTTTTTTTTTTTTTTTTTTTGATTTTTTTTTTTGCTTATAAAAGGAGGAAAAACTCAGTTGTAGTAGTTGCTTAGTTTGTTGTTGTTTAGAAAACTGCCGTTGTTGATTATAGCGAATTCGCGGATTAGCGTTCTTTAGCTGTTTTGAATTACGTTCTATTGACATTTAAGTAGTTAAAAGATAACTACTGTGAGATATTGTGATACTGCATGATAATTTGAGAAAATTTAAGCATTTCTGTTGTGATAATAATAAATTTTTGTTCATTTTTCATCGGACTTGTGCATTCATTTCATAACGAACCCGTACAATTTTTGGTGTCAGAAGTGGGGTTTGAATGCCAATAACAAGAGCGATGGAAGAGCAATTAAGGCAGTTAATATCAGCTTTGCCTCATTTAAAGAAGAAATTAAAGAGGAAATGAAATTGGGCCAGGAATCCGTTAAGGAAGAAATGAAATTGGGCCAGGAATCCGTTAAGGACGAAATGAAAGCCGTTCAAGCTGGTCAAGAAGAAATGAAAGAGAAATTACTTGCATAATAGAAAATAAATTTGAAGCTATGGAAGGCAGAATTGACGCAGTTGAAAATAAAGTTGGACATAT